AGTGGAACGCTGTGAAACAGTTCCCGCTCGAGTAGGGGTGTCAGGAGTATTAAGAAGGGTGAGATGGCGTTCCTGGGCGAGGCAGTGTAGAAGGCGACCTGGTTTGAGTGTTTGGGGGTAACCCCAGAGCCTATGAGGAGCATTAAAGTCACCCCCAAGGAGGATATGGGTGGTCGATGGAAGGGAGTGCAAGAATTTGCCAAGAGCACTAAACAAAGAGGACGTGACAGGGGGGTTATAAAATGACATCAGAGCGAGAGAAATACGGGTAGATGGTTGGTAATAAACCACACCAACTAAATGTTTCAGGAGGGGGGAGGGTACGTCTAGTGGTTCAACGAGAACGTCATTGCGTACATAAATGGACGCAAGTGGCTTTCCCGTCGTAGCGTGATATGCACGGTAGCCTGGGACGGCAAGGGCCGCCCGAGTCTCCTGTATAAGGAGAAAATGGGGTAATGTTTGGCGGGTGAGAAGATATTGGTGGAGAGGGGTCCTATTATGACGAAAGTTGCGGCAGTTCCACTGCAAAATATCGAGGTCCTTTTCACGCGTCATCTAGGTCTTTGGAGTAGAGGAAGCGCCTACACGTGCGCGTTCCTTTTTTTTTTGCCGGTGGAAGTGACTCCTGCAGGGAGTTAAGCATATAGGTGAAAGATTCCAGTTGCTTAGATTGGGTTTCGAGGGTCGTAAGAATCCGGACAATTGAATTTTCTAGCTGGACCAAACGAGTGTGATGTGCAGTGGTGGTGGTTTCGACCATGTCGGCCAATTTGGTTACATGGGAGCTGGAGGTCGGGGCGGTGAGTGTGGTGAGTTGCTTATTTAGCTCCGTGAGTTGAGAGCTAAGAGAGGATGTGGTAGTTGCGAGTGTCTGTGTCAGTGCAAGTATTTTCTGTTGTAGCTCATCTGAGACGCGTTGTTGCTCGCGCTGGTTGCGCTCCAACATAGCCAGTCGCAGATCGAAGGAGCGGCTCTCGTTACTTGAAGATGGTGAAGGTGTGTTTGATGAAGAAGTGCACATGGGAGGTGTTCCCTTAACCTTAGCGGCGTATGAGCCCGGGGGGGATGTTGCGGGAGGTGATAGGAGCTCATGCGCTGAAGAGGAGGGCGGCGAAGGCTGAGTGGCTCGGCGCATGGCTGTGCGACGGAGAAAAGCTGCTTTGGCGCAGTCGCGTTGCTTAGCTAGAAGGTAGGGGCAGGTGGAGTCGAGAGATGAGTGGGTGTTGACTTGGCAATGAATGCACCAGGGTTGGGCGCAAACGTGAGCATCGGGATCTGCCGGTAGAGGCGACGCACTTGGCCGGAACGCTGTGTTGGGGGCATTGATGAGCACGGTGCCCTATAGCAAGGCACCGAGTGCAAGTAGGGGGCTTGGGTTTATGTGGACGGCATCGGAAAGAGACGCGTTTGAAGTACACAAAGCGAGGGATGATGGTTCCAGCAAATGTTATGAGGACGGATTCAGTGGAGCCCATCATACTTGCAGCGAGTATATCTGAAGTAAAGGATTCGAGGTCATGCAAGAGCTGAGATGTTGTGAAGTGACCACCGACGTTGTGTATGACGCCGAGACATGATATTGGAGGACTGGGGGCATAGGGCTTAATGGTGATCGGCTTACCATTAAGTTCCAGACTTGTGAGGGAGAGTAGGAGGTGGGCAGTGAGAGGTGAGTGCGTTTTCAGAAACACAAGGCTCTGAGCAGGTTTGGCTTGAAGGGTGACCTCCGCACTGGTCTTGGGAGAGAGATTTGCGGCGGCTGTGATGGTAGAAAGCAGGTCATAGAGAGGCAGTTTCGGCGTGAGTGTTCCGGGTGGAAGTTGGATTCCGACGGTGATGAGCTCGGAGCGGGGGCGGGCGGTCGAGGCAGGTTTTCGATTGGCACTAACGGTGTTCCAGCTGCCTTCAGGGGATGGCGTATTGTCTTCGTTGACTTGCGATGCCGTGAAGTCCATTTCCGTCGATAAGTCGTCAGCTGAAGTGATGGAAGGCAAAACTTCGGCGATGGAAGGAACGACGCTCGTCGAAACGCGCTTGTCGACAGACTCGGAATTTCCAATGGGTAGGCCAGACGCAGATAAGGTGGGGAGAGCAGCAGGCGTGGTTGATTGCAATGCCAACGCTGCATTACGGCTCTCGGGCTCCGGCGTTTGCGTGGCTATCAAGCTGAGAGTAGCAGAGACGCCACCAGCGTTGCACGTTGCTGGATTGTGCGCGCTGTTGAGGAACGCTGCCTGTTGCTGTATTGTTGTCGGCGCGGGGCTGGTGACATTGCCAGATGGTGACAGCGGAGGCACGGCTGTTTCAGGCGTACGACCGGAGGAGGCTGGGCTTACCGAAAGGGCGTAAGTTGTCGTTGGTGTCGAGTGCTGGGCGGGACTCTGCATCGTGGAGGTGCAGGCGCGGCGCGTTAGGGTTAGCGCGGCGCCGCGCCGCTTCGTACTTTTGAAGGGGCCTGGGGGGCCAGCCTGGGGTCGGACCGGGGCCCGGATGTTGTCGGCGTGTCCCGGAAGTCTTCCAGAAGGATTAGTGAGCTTGTCCAGACACGGGCGGGGCCCGGTAACGGGCCAAGAACGCGTGAAAGTGGAGCACTGTATGCGGCCAGCCAAACAAAACGGCGCCACCTGGCGGTTGTCACAGTGGAAGTGCTTGAGTTATCATAGTCTCCTTTTTCATCATCTGTATTTTGATTATGATATTGTAGCACAGTGGCAATATCAGTATCGTGTTCATTTACAGTTATCTATACTGCATCCAAATCAAGGGGTCGCACATGCGGCGGAACGGCATCTTTCAGAAAACCAAGTATCTGTCGAGGTAGACTACTGTAAAATAAAAAGTGTCGGGCTGCCATTTTTTTTTTTTTCTCCAGTGCCTCCCCCCCCATAGTTTCGAGCACATACGGATCTCTTGCAGAAGCATCACAATTTCAACTGCTCTAATTTGGGCAGCGCCAATCTACAGCAAAATAAGAACCTTCATTTGAAAATAAAACGCCCTAGCGTTCACTTTGCCTCTCGTACACCTTGACCGGACATTTCTAAATGAACACAAAGTTATATAAAAGCGCAAAACCAATTTTTCTCGCCACATAGAAGCTTTGCCAACAGCGCAGCAGCCTTTTCGACCGAAAGAAAGAGCGCCGTGGTGCGGAGAAAAGAGTGGGCCACTTTCACCTTTGGAAACACGCGCTCTCTGTGTGATCGGGACGGCCGGAGAGAAACACGCCGCACGCTTGCGATCTCGGAGGCCATGTCCAGGGCATCCTGTGTCCTGACAGGCTCATTGCCAGAACATGTCAAGTAGCATGTGCCGTCTCTCGCTGCAGTGAGGGTATTGCGGCCTAATGCTAGCAATAGATTTAGTGTAAGCTAAAGGCAACTGCTGAGTAACCGTTCACATCATTCTGAGAGGGTTTAATTGGGTCCTTGAGAGCTGAGGGTGAGGGGATGAAGCTTTACTTGGTCAATTAATAATGTTTACAAATTTCAGTAATTTGTTCGTAACTCCTTCCGTCACTCCTCCTTTCTCACTCCCCTTTCCCACCCCCTATGCTATTCCATACTATACCTGATTAGTGGAGCTTGCTGAATTTTCGTGGCATATAGCCGCTTCGCTATGCTAAAAACTCCGAGAAGGAAGGTTGAAGCTCAGCTTTAATAGCTCTGCTGTAGAAGATAGTTGAGTTGTCCTTGCTTGCATCAGGGATTACTGTAGTGTATTTTTATTTGCAGGCAAGTTACAAGCACTTGAAGGACCCCTCGCTAGGCTCCATAACAAATTTTAGTGAGATGCTGGCAGTTGTTCTATGTTTGAAAAAAGAGCATTATGCCACCAGAATTTTTTCTGTCAGTTCAATACTGAGCTGAGAAAACCACTGTTTTGAAGCGATGCGAAACAATTATGAGAGGAAGGCGAGTCTGAAGCCCTTGCCACGCCTTACGTAGCCTTCGCGAGCCAAATCTCTTCCCTGCCCTCTCCGACATACAGTCACGTGTGCATGACGTCCCCTAGCAAGCCCAACCTCCAAGCACGTCTGCATCAGCGACGACGTTGTTTTGTTGACCAGTGCTATTTTGTTGTCCACTGCTGTTTGTACGGTATGGATACCTCGTTGCGCACTTGTTTGGAAACACTGGCTTAGATAAGGTAGAATAGATGAGCATATTGAGTGCTCAAACGCGCAGGACCATTAGTTTTGTTTGCAGGGCTTGCGTCTGCTTGATGTGCTAACCGCGGAGACACGATCGCATGCGAAACGCAGGCACACTAGCCCCACATGTTGTTGCAATTCACGGGTAAAAAAAATTAAAAGTAAGCAGGCATTACCTTTTTGTGTCTCGTTATTTATTTCAAGTTTTATTCATCGATTCTAGGAACAAATGACACAAACTACACATGTCATGTGAAATAATTTTGGCCATGTCATGTTCTACTGTTGGTGACGTCAGAGCACAGTCGTCTGCGTAGAAGATAGGCGTCACAGCACTACCGTTTACTAGGGCAATTCTTACGTCTGCATCATGCCCTCATTCTCTGGGCACGCGTTCGTGAAAGGAAGGGCAATCAACGTTCATCTTGAAATTTGATCCATTTCCGTGATGCATAGCATTGCAAATTTTGGCTGACATGAGCGTGAACGCCCTATGTACGCGTTGGGCTCGTCAGCTCAAAATTGGCAAACTAAGTGAGGGGCCCTTTAAGAAAAAAAGAAATGCTAACTTTGGAGTATGTAGATGCTGCACTGTCTGAACTTATTTTACAGCGAATGTGTACTACTGCATAACAAAAGTGTGCTAGCACTACTATTTAAAACTTGTTTTGTAGTGACAGATTTGGTAGCGCCTGTGAAACAGAGGTTGTTTAGGGCTTCAGAACATTCTTTGCTTAATGCAAAGGCGAAAATCGTATCATGACAACTGGTGTCCAAGCTGTGGAGAAATGTTAGCTTTTTGTGGTTGAAGTGTGAAAGTTGTATTTGCTACATTTTGTTGCAGTGGCCAGCACGGCACCCAGTGCTCTGAGCACCCCAGCGGAGAAACCACAGGCTGTAGCGAGTACAAGTGCAAGTGTGAAGCAAAGACTCGGCATAAAGCCACCAGCACCAGCTCCTGCGCAGCAGGCAGAGTCTGCGCCTGTTCTTAAAAAAGTGGTGATTGTAAGACGAACTGGACAACAGCAGCCGCAGACTCAGCAACAGTCACCTGTAGCAACAACGGTGCCGCCAACTCCTAGCACAGCCAACCAAGTGAACACAGAGGTAGAAATGGAGCATTCCTCATTTGACTCTGTTCAAGTTGTGTCTTTTTGTCAGCAAGAGTCTGTCTGCTGGTGCTCTGTACTATTTCTGCTTACTATTCAAGCAAAAATGAAGAAAAGAGATGATGTATGATGATCTGGGGAAATGATAAAAAAGAACAGGGAGGCTTAAGCGATTTTTTACTCTTTGAAAGCAAAACAAGCCTTCATTAACTTGGAAACTCATGTTTTGGAACTATCTTTATCCTGAAATTTTTTGCATGACTTGGTGTCGAGAAAACGCTGTACCAAAAAATCTTACTGTGTATTTAGTAGTACTATATTTCTGGATATTTCATTCTAAACTGTGTAGGCACCAAGAAAGTCATTGTTTTACAGTTTTTATCGTTGTTGCACGCCATTCATACAGTAAAACCTTAATAACTCAACCTCTGCTGCAGTTTGTCCTGCATATGCAGTTAAACCTGTCTATAACGAACCTCCATACAACGAATTCCTCGATATTACAAAGTGTTTATATTCCCCTCCGTTACTCAATAGAAGCACCTGTATTTGCGACTTCTATGTAACAAAGCGGTAATGGGAGACAGCCTTGATACAACGAATTTTTCCTGCCAGCAAGCTAGGAACTTTGCCTTGAATTTTGTCAAATCGGTTCGACCATGCATTTTCTGCGGTTGTCTTTCCGATGATGAAGCACGAAGCGGCAGCGTCACGTTAGGTACGCTTTAAGCCCCAGTGACTTCGAGGTGAGAGCAAGCACTCCATTAGGGCATACGGGTGTGAGCGAGGCAGGCGGGCCGGTGCCCCTCAAGCCGTGGATGCTGCATGCTTGAATGTGCCCTTCCTTCAAAAAAATAATAATAAATAAATAAAAAATTGTGTTGGCCGCGTCACCCTTCAGTTGCTACAGATGTCTCTGAACTACATATCTTTAAAGGGGCACCATGTGATGCCACTGAAGAAAAGGGGCGGAAGGGTAGGCTCTTGCTTCATGGTTCGAGTTCGTGCGGCTTATCATTTTTCCAAAAATTATTCCAAGGTATCCGTGCTATTCGCGCTTTTTTCTCGACGTCACACACGTGTGGGTGGTTTAACCGCACGCGCACGAGTGGCCCGCAATCACGTTAAGCTTTGCATTTTTTTTCTTTTTACAGCTAGTTGTCTGTCCGTAACCAGTATCAAACGAAAAAAAAAAAAACTCAGGTAAATAAAAAATACATATGACACAATGGGATTCGAACCCGGTTCCGCTCCGTGCCAGCCCTGTATTCTACCACTGATCCACGCCAGTACATAGAACTTGTTTCTAAACTGGCCTTAGGCAGGCTTTATGTCGGGAAAGGAATCTAGTTAATATGAGTAATAAAGTGTTTTAGAACATCAAAAGACCAGCCATGTGTCACACAATGCGAATGGCGTAACAAGTGGGTCATTCAATGCTCCAACCGATTAGAAAACCTGTTCCTATTCACCTATTAACTGTGGCACATACCCACTTCAAGCATAATTCTTAATCATCGTTAGCCACTGCATAAAAAAATTGCACAAAATTTCTAACAAGTGTGTAGCGAATAGCTCGCTTCTCCAAAGAATTACGAAGGATAACAGAGTGAATGCTGGCCTATACACAATAATAATTATTATTTATGGTGTAGTGGGTACCCAGCAGTGTGCTTGTAGCAGTTACCCAAATAGTGTTTGGAAAATGCTCTGAAAGGCCGCTCTTCTAGCTTTCGCTGTGACTGTGTTGCGCGTTCCGTGCAGGCCTGGCTTTATTTTTTATTATTGTTGTGTCCATTTTCCTCGGCTTCATTATTATGTTGTGGTTCTCTTTCGCAGGCATGCATTTTAGCTATCTATAAGGCATACCATGGGCTGCTCTCTAGTCATCATCAGGACATGCCTTAACATTCTTTAAAGAAGTTTTAGCATTGCATTCAGCTGTATTTTTAGACTCTCCAGCATATTATGTGCATTTGATTCGAATAAATATGGTAGATCATTCAATGGCAACTGATATTATGAATCTCGCATAACGAAGTGGTACGCAATTCTCATCATAAAGTGTGCCTGGTGAGTGTAGTCCAAACGAGGTCGTGGCACTTTTCAGATGGGTCCTCCACGGGGTATGGGAAGTCTGCGAGGCCGAGGTGGTGCAACCATAGCCAGTCGCATTGGGCCTCTGCGCACAGCAGGCCTGGCAGCAACCGGTACACCTGGTGCACCGCGGAAGGTCATCCGCATTGTGTCTAACAATGGAAGGCTGCAGGCAGTGAATGCTGCTGGAGCAGCAGGAATAATGCCACCACGGCTGATGGCCCCTGGTGTGCCGACAGTGCGGCCTCAGGCGAGTTCCATCCGGCTTTTGCTTGGCCTGTGCACTGTCCTTATCACTTACAGGAGTCGACCCCTGAGTATGACTTTTGTAATACTGCTGTAACTATGGGGTGCATTTCATAGCACAGTAAAATGTGGTTAATAACTACCTTACGGGAACAGAAAAAAAAAAATTCTGCGGTGGCTTAGTTTGGCCTATGCCAGGTGTCAGCGATGTCCGAATGAATGTAGTCAAGGCAAGGTTCAAATTTTAAGGAAAACTGTATTGTGCTAAGTTACAGGTGAAATCGGCAGTGGTTACATGTATAAGGAAACTGGACTCGGTGCAGGAAGCTCGATCGGCTACGTTCGACGCCACTCACGTCTCGGCTCGCTCTGCAATGCGTTGCTCTGCGGTCCCGGCTCGAATCTTGGCTCGTTCTCCTCTCTCTGGAGTGCGTTGCTATGCGGTCCCGGCTCGAAGGCTCACTTTTGTTTTTTGAATGTTCGTTGAACCAATGGGCAACCGCGCCGAGTGGACGCGCTCAAGGCTCGGTGTCCACGTTAACGCAGTGCAGCGTTTCCCGTGCAAGCACGGAGACGCTGCCGGAGAATGAGACGCTGCCGGAGAATGAGACGCTGCCGGAGAATTCAGCTGTGCGAACTCGAGTGCCGCTGACACGGCCCTCCCGAAATTGCGCCTGTCCTCAGGCGTGCGTGTCGTTAGATGGCGATGGTTCCGTAACTTCTAGGAGCGGCTCCTTATATCTACGAAGCTGCTTCACGTTGACGATTTTTTGGTTGATCATGCCCAATGTGTGGGACACGCTTTGGATCTCGGCCCTGTTTCCTCCGACGAGGGCCGTTATCTCGAACGGACGTCCCTTCATAGCGAGGATCTAATGTGCCTCGAGCGCTCAACTCAAGCAGGACGAGGCCCCCGTTATGAACCTCGGAGTTCGCCGCTTCTTGTCTTGTCGGACCGTTGTTTTGTGCTGACTCTGCAGTAGCCTCTCTCTTGTCTCCGCACGTCCCCTTGCCAAGTCGTGCTGTCTATGAGACTCGTCGATGTCTCCCTCGACTGAGGCGAGGTTGAGCTCAGTCGAGAGAGACATCGACTCATGCATTTCGACTCATGCACGGGTCGTAGCCGTGCATGAGTCGAAATGGGCTGTGGCCACTGTGACGATGCTTCGTGGCGTTGATTGCTAGCGTTGCTCGGGGTAGTTCCTTCTGCCATTTGTCCTTGTTGTTTAGCATTTTGCGTAGCACCTGTTTCAATGTTCCTACCATTCGCTCAATCAGTCCGTTTGATTGTGGCCAGTACGGTGGGGAGTTATGATGAGCAATTCCCAGTCTGTGATGGAATTGGTTGGTTTTCTTGTTCACGAATCCCTTGGCTTGGTCCGTAATAATGACGCTGGGAACTCCAAATCGCGGAATCCACCGGTTTGTCATGAAGTCAAGGTAGTGCGTCGACGTAGTGCTCGGTACGGTCACGGCGTCCATGTATCTCGTGGCGCGGTCGATACACACGAGGATGTGGTCTCCCTTCTCGTTTAGCGGACCCATGTGATCCAGGGATATCACCGCGTTTGGCTCAGTAGGAATATCGCGTGGGATGAGGCAACCTTCGTTCCGTGTCGTGCTGGCGTTGATAGTCTGGCACGTGTGGCAGGAGTCAACATACTCGCGTATGTCTTTTCTCATCGATGGCCACCAGTACTTTCGCTGGATCAGGTCTCTTGTCTTCTCGACGCCTAGGTGGCCGTTGTTGTCGTGGAAAACGATCATCACACTGCTTCGGAGGGCAGCGGGAATGATCACCCTCCGACGGACCCGTCCTCCCTCGAGAGATTTCTTCACCAGTATGTCGTTTTCGATCTCGTAGTCTGAAGATTTGTGCTTGGCCTCCTCCCGAAATCTTTTGCATCAGTTTTGCAGTCCGTATCCCTCTCCTGAAACTCGCATAGGCAACTGTGTTTGCCGACCACTACTGCGTAGCAGTGGAGGTCTCGGGTCGAAACCCCCTGGTCTAAAGCCTCTGCAGATTCCGACTGCCTCGAGAGTGCATCAGCAGCGGAGTTCTGGCGTTCTGGCTTGTGCTTGACGTCGAAGGTGTACTCTGCTAAGTCGAGCGTCCACCTCGCAAATCTGCGGTTGCTGGCTCCCTTCTGGACGAGGTATGACAAGCTGAAGTTGTCCGTGAACACTGTAAAACGAGGGCCTCCTCTCAGGTAGACCAAAAACTTCTCAGTGATCACCCAGTGGAGCGCCATGCACTCGAGCATATTAGAGTGTAGACCATGATCGTGCTCGTTTAGTGATCTGCTTGCGTACTCTATGATTCGCTCCTTTCCGTCTTGAGTTTGAGAAAGCACCGCACCCAGCCCGGTTTGCGAAGCATCGACGTGAACGTTAGTCGGGCAGTCTGGGCGGAAGCTCGTCAAAATCGGCGGGTTCTTCAAGGCGTGTTTTATGGCGTTGACGGTTGCTTCATGAGCGTTAGTCCATACGAAAGGAATGTCCCTCGCCAGAAGGTGCCGTAGCTTGTGCGTGACCTTTGCAAACTCCGGTATGAACTTTCGGTAGTGGTTAGCGAACTGCAGGAAGGAGTACAGCTTCCTTGCGTTGCGATGCGGCTCGAACTTCTCGACAGCGGCAACTCTGGATTCGTCCAGTGTTCGTCCTTCGGCGAAGATCACGTAACCCAGGAAAGATACTTTGTCTTCAATCAACTGGCATTTCCGGAGATCCATCTTCAAGCCGTTGATCACGACTCTCCTGAGTGCTTCGTTCAGCAAATCCAAAGCCTCCCTCACTGTTGTGGCTCCCTGCCCGACATCGTCCATGTACGTAGCTGTCCTAGGTAAGCCATCGAACGTGCGACGCATGACTCTTTGCATGGTCTGAGGGGCCTTGCGAAACCCAAAGGCCATTCGAAGGTATTCGTACTTTCCGTCTGGAGTGACGAATGCGGTCTTGTGTACGTCGTCCGGCTTCATTCGTATAGTCAGAAATGCCGTCTTCACGTCCAACACAGTGAAGTAAGCCGATTTGTCGCGCATGACATCGTCAATAATGTCTTCCATGACAGGCATTGGATAAGAAGGGTTGATGGTTTTCTCGTTGAGCTTGCGATAGTCGTGTACCATTCTTCGTGGAGTCGTCGGGTGGTGCGGTTGGTCGACGACTATCGTTGGAGCACCGTACTCACTTTTGCTCGGCCTTATGATGCCCTTGGAGAGGTAGTCATTCACCTGTTCTCGGATGAACTTGCGATCAGCTGGTGAGCACCTGTACGGCCTCGATGACACTGGTATATTGTCTCTGAGTTTGATGCTGTGTTCAGTGTAAGGACACACGCCTAAAGTGTCGCCTTTGGAAGTGAACGCTTGGTGATGCCTTAACAGAATTGCGTGAAGTTGTTCCCTCTCTGCCTTGGTGGCATCCTTCATTACCTTCCGTGTGGCGTCTTCGGCTAGACTCGTGAAGTCTTTGTCGGGTGCGGGACATTTCGTGTTGAGGTGCACGTACCCTTCGTCTTTGGAAACACTCTCGCCCGATTGCCGGCAGAACGTCACAATAAGCGTTTCCCCGGTGCGGTGTAGTGTGCCTTGTTTCGGGGGTGGCACTTCGGACAATGAAAATTTTCCGGAGGGCTCGACTGGAACGATAGTCGATAGTCACATCGTTTGACGTGTGAAACGTTACGTCGACGTTCGCGACTCGTCGCCAGTCTGATCCCAGAATCAGGTTGATGCCGCTGGGCAGTTCCGTTACCACGACATCTTCGAGTCGCACATTCGTGGTGCCCAGTGTCACATCAAGCGTTGCAGCCAGAGTTGGGCGTATGCTGCGGTTGAGAACTTGAATGTTCTCGCGCGATACCCATGCGTGCGTGGGAATGTCGTCCGTCAAGGCATTGGCACTCATGATGGATAAGTTGGCGCCACTGTCAATGCACACGCGGACGGGTCGGTTGTTAGCAGTACCGGACACTATTGGTAATGTGCCGCCCGTCGAATGCAAAAAACAGTTCGCTTGCCTAGGTGACGTAGTCCCTGTTTCGTGGCTGCTATTGTCCGTCTTCGCTCGTTTCTCGTCCGCTCTGATCGTTGCTGGCGTTTTCGGCTTTCTACAATCACGGGACAGGTGACTGATGTCGCCGCAGTTGAAGCACGAGCGAGCAGAGATGGGCTGCGGGTGTGGAGCTCCCGAGAAATCGTTGGCGGGTTGGCCTTCGGCAAGTTGGCAGAGCTGCTGGCTGGCACCCGCTGGTTCGAACCCTGACCACGGCTCGCTGTAGACAGACGGTATCTTGCCGTTCTCGGCACACACGGTCGTGCGACGCCTCGCGTCGAGCAAAGCCGCTCTGTCAATGAGTTCGGTTACTGGGCCACACAGCTGCACTGCGAGTGGGTTGGCCCATGTGTCGTCCTCGATGCCGCTGAGAATGAGGGAAATTCGTTCTTCCTGTGCTAAACGGTACGGCGCCTTGTTCAGAATGGCGTTCTTCGAGTACATGTACTCGACGATGGTCTCGTGGCTCTGAAGGCGTCGCTTCGTCTGCAGTTCGAGGAACTCCTGCATTGTCAGCTTTCGTTTGAATCGGAGAATGAGCGCTTCTTTCCATTGCTCCCAGGTGTCATACTGTGAGCTGTAGGCGCTGTGCCAATCCTTGGCAGATCCCGTCAAGCGGCTTGGTGCTGTCACCGTCAGCGATGGCGTCCAGTGGGCGAGCGCTGCGATTCTCTCCACTTGCTTAATCCATTCGTGAGCATTTTGTTGCGGCGTCCCATCGAACGAGGGGATTGAGGATGACGTGTCGCTTGTGGAATGAATCTGGATCGGGCTCGTCGTCGGTGGACCTCTCGACAGCGTGTTGGCGAGCAGGGTTTGTGTGTTCACGAGCGCGGCGAGGATCTGGGCCATCGAAGGTTCTCCCTCGTGCGTTGAAACGGTCGGCGCGACGGGGCGTGCCGCGTCTTGGTTGGTGCCGTCGTTCAGTGACCGTGGCCGCGTCGAACC